TAAAAAAACTTTTTCAAAATCCTATGCTGGCCACACCAGAAACCCATAGCTATGAGAGTCTCAGACTTGGTGCTGCCCAAAACTGGATTCTGAAACCTGTGGAAACTCACCCACCTTCCCTACTTGAAATGTATTTGTTGGGGAACAATTAACCTTAGGATGAGTAATCTGTCACCACTTTGTGTGAGTTTCAAATTTTCCCATTACAAGAGGAAAATGAGAAAAATATGTCCTAGATAACACAGAGAAAAATGCCTCATCGTCTTAATTGCCCTTCTATTTCAATCAAGGAAGGCATTTAATTATTTCTGAACTACATTCAAAACTCTCTCTCAAGAATATTAGTCTCCCCAGGTGAGTTAACCAAATCTGTGCAAAACATATCTCGTGTCTGAATATTAATATCAAACATTTATTGAGCACTTTTTATATATTCCAATGACTTAATTCCTTCCACTTAATGATCTCATTTTTTCCTCAGAGTCAATCCATGAGGTGAAAACAGTCCTTATTCTTCCCCGACAAGTGAGGAAACTGAGGCAGAAAACTGAGACAGCATTTGTGTTAAGCAGTGAAACAATGTTCAATCCCAGGCCCCCACCCTCGGCCACACTGCCCCTCCCTCACTCTGCCTCTATGCGTTCCCCTCTAGATTTCAATTTCTGAGTAAATGTGCAAAAATCAGTGTGGAAGATCACCCATCATGATCTGCGTCAGCGACTCAAGGGTCATCTGGAACTTGAGGTAGGTCATCTAGAGGACCTGGAGTCAGAAAGGGCTGAGTCCACCTGGCTTCTTGCACAAGAAAGGAAGCCCCAGACATTTCATACCACGGCCTTGGGCCCTGGCAAGACCCCACAACCTGCATTCAGGGCCCAGCTCTGACTTCATCATCACTGCTGGAACCCGCAGGGAAAGGAAATAACTTTTCTATGATATGTACATAAGGCCATTATTATCTCACTTTTTAAAAAATGGAAAACAATCAACTACCCTGCTGTTGTGCTCAGTCTTATCTGACTCTTTGCAACCCCCCCAGGCTCCTCAGTTCATGAAACTTTTCAGGCAAGAATACTGGAGCAGCTTGCCATTTTCTACTCCAAGGGCTTTTCCCAACCCAGGGATCAAACCCATTTCCCTTGTGCCTCCTGCATTGGCAAACAGATTCTTTAACACTGTACCATCTGGGAAGCCCAATCAACTCACTGTTTATAGTCTAAAACTGAATGGCATGAACACATGTGTTGTATAAGAAAAAGAAAAAATTTTTTTCTGTGATGGACTTTGTCCTTCAAAACGTACTATAAAACAGAATAAAGACTGGATTTTGAAATCTGTGTGCCACATCAGTAGGAAAGCTGACACTGGCAATTTTCACAAGGATTTTAAACTTTACAATATGATAAGCACAGGACAATGAGTACACTTATGTCCTCAAAACAAATGCTTTATAATTTGAGCTATATTTTTTTTAGTCTTCACAACAGTCCAAATTTCAATAACAGGGCTATTTTTAAACATTTTAATGAAAATATTCTATTTCATTAAGTTTGCATGTAAGTATGTATGAGAAAACTGATATTTTTACAATGTAAAATGGCTTGTATTCCTAATAAATAAGAGCAACCGTTGATTTCTCAATTGTGTGTCTTTAAAGGCTTCTATTCTTAAGCCTGATCATTTGCACAGATGCATCTATTTTCTCTTCAGTAACTATGTTAACACTTAAAAAGACCATATACACTCAGCTTCTTGTATTAAGACTTGTGGAAGTCATAGACCCTTGAGACATGCAAGCAGTTGTCTAGTAAAGATTTGAACCATATTCTTGAACAGATGGAATTAGGTAAGAAGTTTAAACAAAGTGCATTTTCCCTTGTGCTGGTCCACGGCCATGTGTATAGCACTTCCAAGCATTTAAGCACCCAAATTCCTCTATGTTCTGGGGACCCCATGCCAACTTGGACACGTTTAAGGATATGAGAGACTACAAACAACATCACTGAGCTTCCAGTTTCCACTCAAAGCAGCTACATCATTCAGATCACTCCCCGCTGCACACACACACCCTGCACACATTGGTTTCAAAACTGCCAACGTCTCCTGAAAAGACCTGAGGAGCCCAAATGGCAGTCAGGAGTCCCCAGGCCAATTTTTGGAGAAAGCAGAGAGATAAGTAGAATTTTGGAAGCGCTTATGCCTGCAAGCATTTCCGGTTACTGTTGACTCAGGCTTCTGCTCACGGGCTACGTGAGGAGAGGGGCCGCAAAGGTCAGCGCACAAAGCCCAGGCGAGGTGCTCACTTTAAGTTGGGGTTTCAAAAAGCTTTTATTAAAAAAAAGAAAGATAAAAAGCTGCATTTTCAATGTCAGAGCAAAGTTAGTGGAAACCTCTCTCTCTTTCCCCTAAACTGGGGGCCTTTGGGACCCAGACTCTGCCTCAGGAAGACTGACATCCAGGAACTCACAACCTGAGCTGGCTGTTTGTTGCTCAGTCACATCTGACTCTTTACAACTCTGTGGACTGTAGCCTTCCAGGCTCCCCTGTCCATGGAATTTTCCAGGCAAGAACACTGGAGTGGCTTGCCATTTCCTTCTCCAGGGGAATCTTCCTGATCCAGGAATCATACCCATGTCTCCTGAAGTGGCAGACGTATTCTTTACCACTGAGACACCTGGGAAGCTGGCTAAGCAATCTCAAACTGTGAAAATGGTTTAAGGTGACACCCAAGCGGGAGTGACCGAAGTCTGATGGAATGAACCCCAAGCTTCTCCCGGGGGCAGGAGCACCTGTGCCAGGCTCTGCTTCCCCTACCAGCAAGTCTACAAAGGCAAAGGAGGCCAGCAGGCACAGAAAGAAGCACCAGTCCCCGGTGAGACCTAGAAGAAACAAAAGGAAGCAGAAAAGCAGAAACACAGCTCCACTCTCCTCAGACATGCACTCTCCTCAAACGGGCTAAAATACCACCTCCATTACCAGGCTTAAAGAAATAAATGACAAACTTGAAAATATCTGCAGAAAACAGGCATATGATAGGAGACAGATTATGTTATAGGAAACTATCAAATTTGTCATAGTAAACTGGATAAAGAAATGAATAGAGCTGTTGTAAGCAAATATTAAAATACCCAGTGTTAAAAATGCAGGGAATGGACACAGGCACATTCCTCTAGTGCAAATACACTTGTGCTGAAGATCCTACCTGTCTGGAAAGAACATCCCCCAGACATCCCTCTTGGATGATTCAGGTCCTTCGATGTATTCTCAAAGGTCCCCTTCTCAGTGAATCCCACACTGATCACAACAGCCCTCTTCCCACACACTTAGAATCACCTTCTTTAAAGCATTTACCAACTTTCCTTCATTTACTCTGCTCATAGTATACACTCTGCCCCTTACCAATAGACCATATGAAGCCAGCACTGTTTGTTTCTAGTTCACTGAGGTTTCCTAGATGCAAAAATACTGTATAAAACATCCGACACACAACAAAGATTAGCTGAATGACTGGTGTAGAGAAGCTCCCTATTCCAGGGACAGTATCTTTATTAATGTAACCCTCGGCCGAACGCTGCTCTGTGGCAGCTACAGCGCAACACCCACTCACCTTGATGTCAATGGCACCAGCGATGCACAGCCTTTTCCTTCCTTCACTCAGCTCTGTCCTCCCCCACCAACCCTCCTGCACACTACAGAGCTCAATTATACTTCTCTTCAGAAAGGATGAGCCTAGGTTTATGGGTCCTGTTTTCTAACCAACTGACTCTCAGTTAGACTCTGTCAATCCCTGAGCTTGCATTAGAGCCAGCACTCAGAATACTAGAGCTGAGGGCAGAGCAAGAGAGGCAAGTTTAGAGAGAAGGTTTAAAAACAAAAAATCAGTGAATGAGTTTAACAGCAGATTTGGATAAAATATAGGGAGAATTAATGAACTCGTTAATTAGATATATTTTAGTTACAAAACTACCTAGTTTTACATGTAAATTATAAGATATAAATGTATGCTAAAAATAAATTAGAATAAACTATCAAGCATGAAACATGGAGTAGAAAAAAATTTTAAAGAGAGTAAGACACATAGTAAGAGAGCTAACATGCATCTGATTGAGTCCTAGAAAGAGAGGATAAGGCAGAAGAAATGGCTGGAAAGAAAACGGCTGAGAATTTTCCAGAACTGAAGAAATGCATTCATCTATGGGTCAAAGAGATCCAAGAAACCCTATGCTAATAAATAAAAATAGATTGCTAACAAAGTAGATCCTAAAAGTTATCACAAGGTGAAAAACTTGTCACTGTTTGAAGTGATGGACTAAACATGATGGTAATCATTTTGCATCATACATGAATGTCACGTCGTTATGCTGTATGTCAAATAAAATCAAAGAAATAAATAAAAAAAAAAAACAAAAATTTGCAACTAGATTCATGACAGTAAAATTACAAAAAATAACAAAGATGTAGAGAAAAATTCTAAGAGTTAAAAAAGACCTTCAAAGACTGACAGTTAGACTGACCTCTAACCAACAGTCAACTGCTGTCTCAGTAGTAATGAAGGAAGGCATTTTTCTGTTTTCCTTTTACTTACTTCACTAAGCATAATTCTCTCTAGGTCCATCTGTGTTGCTGCAAATGCTAAATTTTCATTTTTTCTAGCTAAGTAATATTCCACTGTATATATACATACCACATCTTCTTGATCCATTCATCTGCTGATGGACACTTTCATATCTTGCTTTCATATCTTGACTAATGTAAACAATGCTGAAGTTTGGGATGCATGTATCTTTTTGAATTAGTGTTTTCATCTGCTTTGGATATATACCCAGCAGTGGAATTGCTGGGTCACATGGTAGTTTGATTTTGAGTTTTTTGAGGAACCTCCATACTGTTTTCCATAGTAACTTCAGAATTTAGAATCCCACCAACAGGGTTCCTTCTGCTCCACATCCTTGCCAACATGTGGAACCTAAAAAATAAAACAAACCAATGTATATAACAAAACAGAAGCATACTGACAGATACAGAGAACAAACTAGTGGGTACCAGTGGGAAGAGGGAAGGGGTGAGGGGAGAGATAGGGGTTGAGGATTAAGACAAGTTACTATATATAAAGTAAACAACAAGGATATATTTCACAGCACAGGGAAATACAGCCACTATTTTATAATGACTTTAAATGGAGTATGATCTATAAAAGTACTGAGTCACTACGTGGTTGCTGGGCTGCAAGCGGCAGCAAGGCGCGTACTTGCCCAGGTCTGAGATGGAAGAAAGAGCCAGGAGACCACGAGAGGGGCATAAATGATTTACTAAATAGGGCAGGGGTCCCCAAATCCCAAGCCGAGGACTCATAGGAACCAGGCCGAACAGCAGGAGGTAAGCAGTGATCTGCCGCTCCCCATCCCCCCGACTCCTCTCCACCATCCCTGCCCTCCCACCCCGGTCCATGGGAAAACTGTGTTCCAGGAAATCAGTCCCAGGTGCCAAAAAAGTTGGGGACCACTGAGATAGGGGAGCTTACGCATCCAAAGCAAAAGGGTCGTGGAGCCACACCGCATCGCATAATGGCAGACAGCAGGCAGAACATAGGGACAAGCTTCGCTACGCAGGACAGAAAGAGGCTGCCATTTGCAGGGGGAAGTGACGTCAGGCTGGTTCATCAGTTACCAAAGAAACCCGCAGCTGGGTTACATCCGTTGTAGCCCCTCAGATTAACGATCGCCAGGACGCGCTTCCCTTTCGTAAGCTAGCAGGTGGAACCGTTTTGGCTTAAGGGTTAGAACAGTCACTAGCTGGAGCTGGGGGCAATATATAACTAAAGTAGTACATTGTAAATCAGCCAGTTCAATGGACATGAACTGGGGCAAACTCTTGGAGATAGTGAGGGACAGGGAGGCCTGGCCTGCTGCAGTCCATGTCGTCTTGAAAAGCGGGATACGACTTGGCAACTCAACAACAACAAATCAGCTACACATCAGTTAAATTTTTAAGTATTTTTTAAAAAACAATGGACTGGCATCAGCAAAGTATCAAAAGGAAATAACTGCCACCATAAAATTCTACTAATACACCGCGTGAAAGACAATTTAAACTTGAATTTTTCACCATCAGAGTCTCACTATAGGAGCTCTCTTGATATGCTTCAGGCAGAAAGACAGTGATATATTAAAAAAAAAAAAAAAATTGATCCAAGATGCAAGAAAGTTTGTGAAACCAACAAAGTAAAGAATGTGGTTAAATAAGTACCAGCTGTGTAAAACGGTAATGAAAATTTCTAGTGGGGGTAAAAAGAGATTGGCAAAGTATTAGACAACAAAAGCCTAAGGCTTGGAGTTGGGGAAATGAAATAATAAAAAGGTCCTTATTGGTAGTTTTTTATGTTCATTATCTGTCCAAGAAAAGATAATGTTTCTGATGACTTCTAGACCTGGGTAGGATAATTATGCAGTTTGTATTTTTGAGGTGTATTAGGTTTGTAGGACTTACATAACAAAACACCACAAACTGAGTGACTTAGAACAATAGAGATTTATCCCCACAGTTCTGAAGCATGCGTGCTGTGCTAAGTCTCTCCAGTCGGGTCTGACTCTCTGTGACCCCGCGGACTGTCGCCCTCCAGGCTCCTCTGTCCATGGGATTTCCCAGCAAGAATACTGCAGTGGGTTGCCATGCCCTCCTCCAGGGGGTCTTCCTGACCCAGGGATTGAACCCACATCTCTTACATCTCCTGCATTAGCAAGCGAGTTCTTCACCACTAGCACCATCTGCAAAGTTGCGCTGAAGGGTAGAAATCCAAAATTAAGGTGCTGGAAGGCCCAGTATCTCTCTGAAGACTCTAGGGAAGAATCCATCCTTTCCTAGCCCAGGCTTCACAGAGCCATCTTCCTCCTCTGTGTCCTTGTCATCTTTTTTGTTGGTTTGTTTTTTATCTTTTGGCTTCACCACGAGGTATGTGGGATCTTAGTTCCCTGACCAGGAATCAAACCTGCACCCCCTGCATTGGCAGGGCAGAGTGTTAACCACTGGACAGCCAGGGCAGTCCCTGTCATCTCTTTTTATAACACCCGTCATATTGGAGTGGGACAGCGGAGCCTGGTGGGCTGCTGTCTGTAGGGTCGCACCGAGTCGGACACGGCTGAAGCAACTTAGCAGCAGCAGCATATTGGAGTAGGGGCCACCCTGATGACCTCACCTTAATTTGATTACATCTTTAATACCCTATTTCCAAACTAGGTCACATTCATAAGCATCAATAGCTATGACTTCAATAAATCCTTTAGATTTGGGGCAGGGATACAATTCAACCCAGAAATAATGTAAGAACAAACATTGTAGAACTAGGGTGTTACTTCCAAACTAGTAGAAGAAGTGAACTGGATAATGAATACTCAAAATTAAAAATAATAAATAATAAAAAATTAAAAATAATATTGACACCAAAACCTAATAAGGACAGGACCATTGCAGGCTAATCTTATTAGTGAACACAGACTTTTTTATTTTAAAAAAATATTAATAAATTGAATTGACAATATATACAAAGATTTTAATGTTGATGCAGCATATTAAGGGGCTTCTCTGGTGACTCAGAATGTAAAGAATCTGTCTGCAACGCAGGAGACCTGAGTTCCATCCCTGGGTTGGGAAGATCCCTTGGAGGAGGGCATGGCAACCCACTCCAATATTCTTGCCTGGAGAATCCCATGGATGGAGAAGCCTGGCAGGTTAGAGTCCATGGGGTCACAAAGAGTTGGACATGACTGAGTGACTAAGTACTCACACATGTAGCATAATAAAAACAAAGTAATATAATTCACCTCATTAATAGATTAAAAAAATCATATTCTCATCAAATATCAGAGAAAGCATTTGATACAGATAATTAATAGCACCTACCTCCCAGGGTTATAGTGATGATAAAATGAATCTATATCAAGCAATTTTACAGTGCCTAGAACATAGCCAACATTCAATAGATTGTTACCTATTACTAGTATTTATAAACTTTAACTGCATTTCACACACATACAGAGAAGATATTCAAATGACCAATACATAGACAAGAAAGTACTCACCTTTATTAGGATTTAGGCAAATACAAAATAAAACCCAAATAAGATATCACTATACCCATCAAATAGGCAGAAATTTAAAAGTCTGACCATACTGAGTGCTGCTTAATATACATAGGGGCTTTCATATACTGCTAATGATTACAACCACCTTGGAAAGCAGTCTGGCATTATCTACAAAATCTTTTAGTCTGTAATCCAGAAATTCCACTGCTAGGTATATACCCTACAGAAGTGCATGTTAAATCACCCCAACACTTCAGTTATAAATCCCACTTGGTCATAATGTATGAAAGGGAAAGTGTTAGTACAGCCACTATGGAGAACAGAATGGACATTTCTTAAAAACTAAAAATAGAACTACCATATGACCCAGCAATCCCTCTCCTGGGCACATACCTGGAGAAAATATAATTCAAAATATATATATACACCCCAATATTCATTACACACTATTTACAATAGCCAGGATATGGAAGCAACCTAAATGTCCATCAACGAGAAATGGATAAAGAAGATGTGGTACATGTACACAGTGTAATATTACTCAGCCATAAAAAGAATAAAATAACGCCATTTGCAGCAACATGGATGGACTGAGAGATTGTCATACTGAGTAAAGTAAGTCACAGAAAGACAGATATCATGTGTTATCACTTAAATGTGAAATCTAAAAAAGGGGAGGTACAAATGAACTTATTTACAGAAGTAGAGTCATTGATGTAGGAAGTAAACTTATGATTACTAGGGGAATGGAGGGGGATAAATTGGGAGATCTGGACTGACACATACATAACTTGCCCAAAACCGGTTTCTACTACTCCAGCTACAGAAGGCTGATACAGTGAGGACCTGGGCACCAGATGGGATAAATAGATCTTTAAAGCCTCTTTCGATGCTGTGGTCCGAAGATAAGCACAGATATAATTAGGCCTCTCTCATAGGAATCAATAGTTATAGATGTGCTGGGAAGATAATACTTAGCTCAGTATCTCAAACAGACATGCTGGCTCTAGACACTTTAAAACAATGAACCAAAATATAATTTGTAGCTCTAAGGACACACTGGGGATATAGTTCCAGAAATGGGCTCAAAGTACACTTACTAGTGATCTTGAAAACCTTGGAAGGAGATTCTGCCAGAATACCATCATCCATTAAGACTGATGTCAACACAGAATAAAACAATTGAGTGAATGCTGGAGGAGGGAGCTGGGGGCAGGAATCTGTAAACATCAAGAGGATAATGGAATCACAAGCGTTCATCAGTATCAGAAACAAATGAGGTTAGAGGAAACCTGAATAATTCCTTAGCAAGTCTCAAGTAGGTCTCTCACCAGAAGAAATCATGCTTTGTATATCTCATGAACTCTTTAATATCTGCTCACCTGGGTTTGAATCTCAGCAGAGTTACAGTGATGAATACTGAAAAAAGAAAAACAGGGGTTTCGCATTCTGAATTGGGGTGGGTAAGAATATAGTTTTACAGAATTTGGTAGAGAAAAAAGTTTCTATTGACTCAAAATCAACCTTTTATGAAAATTTCTTCTGAAAAGATCTCTATCTAGTGTGGTTTTTTTTTTTTTACAGATAGGAACAGTGTCTCATGCAAGAGAAAAAGCATTCTGTTTTGGTGAACATGGAAACTGAATTCTCAGATTTGGGGCTTCTAATGGCAAATTAAACCCATCTCACCAAGAAAAGAGAATGAGAAAAAGAAATAACTTTTATACTGTGGCAAATAACTGGTGTGTTGATCTTTTTGAATCTCCTGATTTCTTTATCTTGTCATGGTTTTCCTTAATGGTGACACAGGTTTAAGAAAATAAAACACATCTGATAGAAGTTCTTTGTCTTCCCCCTTTTAAATTATTTAGTAACATTGGGTAGCTAAGAAATTGTCTCTGCTCCTACAAAAAACCACTATGCTAATTGTGGCCAGAAAAATCAGTAATTATAACAGATTATACAAAGCAGGAACGGCTACACTAACGTTAGGGAGTAAGGGGTGCAATTATGTGGCTCAGCCTAAGACATCTTCACTCTGAATCTCTGTGAAGAATGAAGAAAAAAAAGCTCCACACCAAAATTGAAGGGGACCAGTTTTCTGATTGTGTCCTAGGGGATTTGGATAAAGCTCAAGCAATTTGAAGCATACCCTCAGGTTGTACTCAGCAGAATTCCTGACCTCTGCCACATCCTATCTATCATAAGCCTTTATCAGGAGAAGATGCCAAATCACAAGCCATTTGGTGGCATATAATTGCTTCGACATTGACAGCAGAAGGGTATATATCATCTCCTATGTTAAAAGGGGAGTGAGTGTTTTAAATGGAAGAAGACTGAATATAAAAGAAAATTTAAATAAACACGGAAGCGAAGCTAAACCAATACTAAACTGAAAGGGATATCAAAATAAAATGAAACCTTAAATATGGACTGAAGAAAACAATAATGTATGATTTCTAATGATACTTTCTGATCTATTAGAAATATTGAAGAAACAAAAATTAAGAAAGAAGCGGAAGAAGGAAGGAAGAAAGGAGGAATAGAGAAAATAATATGACTTAGAAAAGCTTATGAGAGCATGGAACTGATTTTATATATGTGAAGCTTTGTGGTTAGTTTTGTGGATACAGAATTAAATAATACTAAACTGTGCAGAGAGAAAGGTCTTCTGTTTTTTCACTTATATCACAAGGAACATCTCTGGGCAGTCTGTCTTCATCTTTAACACCTTCAAACCTTCCTTTGAAAAGGAAAAACAGAACAGGCCACAGACTCTGAGCCTTTGGTTGATGACAGCATCCAGCTCAAATTTAATTACATTATGTTATTTTTAGTGTATTTATTTTTGTTGTTACCCTCTATTTATGGCAAGTGAACTGGTTTCCATTTGTGATTGGCCTGTAATTTTTTTTCTTTACTTACATTTATACAAACAGAGTCAACTCAAAGACAAACATCAGACAGATGAGAATACAAGGTGAAGGAAAGAAAACCAGTGTGGGTCCAGTGTGGGTTAGGCAAAAACCTTGTAAGAGGCACTGAAGTGATTTTAGTTAAGAAAATATCAATGTAAAATCATAAGACTGTCAGAGCTAGAGGAGGCTAAGAGCAGACAATCTGAATCCCCTCTCCTTGTAAAAGCCCCAAAGACAGGGCAGGAATAGCCGGAGAATGGACGGTACAGCCTGTAACAGCAAAGACGATCTTTAATCTAAGCTTGCTACCTCCTCCTCCAGTGCTATACTGTTATTTAACTTGTAGGCCTCTCCAAAGCTATATGTGTGGAATTGGCTAAATGTATCTAGTCCACAAGGATGTCAGAATACTGAAGCAGGCGACAAAGGATAGATTCTTTATTAAGATGGATAAAACTTGTGTAACTTGAAGAACCACAGTGACATCTAGTGGTGCTCATTGATAATGCAACTTTCCTTGCAATTCTCGGTTTAAGCAAGCTTGTCATTAAAAAGCAAATATTGTTTTGTAGAACATTCCTCCTTTGGGATTTGTCTGCTTTCTCATAAGTAGAATTAATTTTTAACGGGAATATCATGTACATAAAGTTGTGCCTTCCTTAATGCATCATACTGAGAAGCATATGAAGATGGTTTGTTCCATCACTGGTGAATATAAACTTTGACGACTTGGTTTACCCACTGGAAAGTCACTGTCTGTCCCTTTCTAATTCATAAATGAGTTATGAAGTGATATTTTGAGGCTATATAAATGTCTTTTTCCTTCTCAAACTTTAATCCACTAGTTTTAGTATTCATTGGTGATTCTTGACTGAATCTGTTACTACTCATAAGGGTTGCAAAATGGTAATTTCATAATTCTGTTATTCCTTCTTACATTTGTTTTAGTTATTATTTTACTGAAAGATGTTATTTTCCTATTTGCTTATTTATTTATGTTTATATTTATTTCTTAGTATGGACTCATGAGTTCTTACATCATCTATCATCTATACAATAGGTTATATGTATAGATATCCAATATGGCTACCATATTGGACAGTGCAAACACAAAAAACTTCATTAGGTTCTCAACTAACTATGCTTTCTCTTGCCTCTGGGGTTTTGCCTGTATTGTTGCCTCTCATGTGAAGACCTATTCCCAATAGATTATAGATTATGAAAGAATTCATGAGTACATCCATTTATGCATTATATGTGCTAAGTCGCTGTGGTCGTGCCTAACTCTTTGTAAAACTATGGTCTGTAGCCTGCCAGGTTCCTCTGTCCATGGGATTCTCCAGGAAAGAATACTGGAGTGGGTTGCCATGCCCTCCTCCAGGGGATCTGCCTGACCCAGGGATCAAACCCATGTCTCTCGTGTCTCCTGCATTGGCAGGCGGGTTCTTTACTGCTAGTGCCACCTGAGAAGCCCATGTATTGCATGAATGGTATACATATTATATATGTTAGCTTTGTTGTAGGCTATATATTCATGTCTCTATTATAAATCATAGTGTTTACTAGACATAATCTATAATCTATTGCTATTGTTATTTATTTCTCTTCAACAATACAAACGTCATGAAAGTCAAAAAAGTATAAGAAACTGCTGTAAATTAAGGAGACTGAAGAGCTATGATGGGTCAATGCAAAGTCCAATTCCAGATGCAGTTTAGCTATAAAAGACATTTGGGGATAATTGATCAAATTTGAATAATCTTGTAAATCACTTAGTATGGATTAAATAATGATACTATAAGTGTGTTAAATTCTATCTTGATCATTTTACTGTGATTATGTGAGAAAACATCCTTGTCTTAGGAAATATACTTTAAAATATTTAGGGCTAAGTCAGCATTATATCTGCAGCTTATTTTTAAGTGGTTCAAAAAATCATAATATTACATGTGCATTGAGATAGAAAATGATAAACAAATGCGGCAAAGTGTGAACAATTGGTGAATCTCATTGAAGGGTACACAGAGATTCTTTGTACTATGCTAGCAACTTTTCTGTAAGTATAAAATTTTTGTCAAAATAGTAATGATAAAAAGGATAAAATAAGGCTTTAAGGAAGTTTTTTAAATTATTTGTTTTTGGCTATGCTTGGGTCCTCATTGCTGTGAAGGCTTTTTCTCTAGATGTGGCAAGCAGGAACTTTGTTGCAATATGCAGGCTTCTCATTGAGGTGGCTTCTCTTGTTGTGGAGATACTATCCGTGGGCATGCAGGCCTTGGTAATTTCCATGGGTGGAACCGCAGCTGCGGTTCCTGGGGTCTAGGGCAAAGGCTCAGTAGTGATGGCGCATGGGCTTAGTCACCCCTCAGCAGGTGGGATCTTCCCCACCCAGGGATCAAACCCATGTCTCCTGCATTGGCAGGTGGATTTTTTACCACTGAGTCACCAAGAAAGCCCTTAAGGAATTTTCATGTCTTGTTTATTAATAAATGAACAAAAAAAGAGAGCAAAGTAAACACCAATTTGCACTACAGGCTTGAAAATTTCCAAGTCTCAGTGTTCTTTCCACTGCTGCTTACAGTTTGAGATAAATGCCTGCTTTTTCCATTAGGGAATTATCTTGCCAGTCAAGGAAATCTATTATAAATTACTAGTTTAAATTCTCCAGATGTCTGAAGAATCCCTCAAAAAACACACATATTTTATAAAAGCTCATACACTTAATATCATCATGTAAAAAAAGATTTTTATGCAGACTTTATCCAACCAGCCAGCTGTGATTACTCTTAATTTGGAATAGTAGAAGTTGGCTATGAAAAAAATTGCTCTGAAATATAAATATCCCCATCTTAAAAGGAACAGAAAATGAATACTGGTGAGGATACAATCATAGCGAGTGACTTACTGGGTTTGGGGGGAAGTTGATGTGAACATTGTATAAAAATAAAAATAAAAAATTAATTTTGGGCTTTGTAACTAAACAGCCATGGGTTAGAACTGCAGTTCTAGAACTTATTAGCTGTGTGGTAAGATGGTATAATATTTGGGACTGTGTTTCTACAGCACCTTACACAGAACTGAGGAAATATCAGTTGTCCATAATAAAAAACACAGGTGTTGTTTGATGGAGATCATCTGTAAGCTTCTGAACAAATGAAACCTCCAAAGCCCCCAACACAGAGAAGCGTCCAGGAAGTAAGCCTTGAGATGTCTTCCTTATCACCTCCACTGATTTTAAGGATAAGAATAAAAATTTCTAAAAGCATGTGTCTGTGTAAAGGCATGCACCATAATGTAATAGTTAAGCAGATTCTGAAGCCAGCTGCCTGTGTTCAAATACTTAGCACTTTGAGCAGATAACTGGACTCCTCTGTGCCTCAGTTTCATCATCTGGAAAATGGGGATGATAGTACCTACCTCAACAGATGGGTGTAAGGAGTTAAGGAGTTTGTTTCATGTAAAGGGATTAAAAGTGAATCTTACAGAGGGCAAGAGTTAGCCATTATTTATTTGGAGAATATGAGAAAAAAGGATGTAGTGCTACTTAGGGATAAACGTGTCAGATGTTTAGAAAACATGGACCAGGAGCTCAGTTAAATAGAAAGCAGGTATTCATAAGGACTTGGGTGACAAAGTTTAAGGGGAAAGAGAGGGGATTCAGTTTCTTGATTCTCAGAACCTATCTAAGTCTCTTTAAATCCAAGGTAGGCGGGAAGCTGTGTATAACACAGGGAGCCCAACGCGGAGCTCTGTGATGCCCCAGAGGGGTGGGATAGCAGGGGAGTGGGAGGGAGGCTCAGAGGGAAGGGGTGTATGTATACTTAGAGCTGACTCACATTGTTGTGCAGCAGAAACCAACACAGCATATAAAGCCTTATCCTGCAATTAAAAATAAATTTAAATAAATAACTACAGGGCAGTAGCCACTAAAAGGATTGGGTGGTTCAGTGAAGTGATTGTGCACACACGGATCCCCTTACCACCATGCTGGGCACGGTTAGCAGGGGACTGTCAAAGTCCACCTCCTATGATGTCCATGGCGTTTTATCAATTGTGCCTCCACATTGGATTCTAAAGACGTGATGTCTTTAGACATCATGCAGCACCTGAGCCCCCGAACACCCCCCACCTCTGTCTTCAGAGTATAATGTAAAATGTGTGCATCTAACAAAACAAAATGTTATCTTGTGTTTTCAAACTTTGTGGCCCAGGAAGTGTCTGTTCCATATTTCAGTAAAAGGACTCTTAACTTTACCATCTGTGTGAACCACTGGGTAATCCCCAAATAACACTGCTTTCTGTCTTTTTATATACAAATATCTTCTTGCCAAATAACCAAGTGTCCTTTGGCTGTTGCTTCCCACCCTAGACACAAATGCATTACTTATATATCATCTCTTTGAGCTATTATTTGCTTTTTTTTTTCTTAAATGAGAACGAAATGACAAAACCTAAACCCCTAAGAGCCTACCAGGTAAAGGCTGGCTGTAGTATGAGATACAGATTGAAAGTTTTAAATGTTCTTATGATACAAGGTAACTCAGTTAAGTGGCTTCCTTCCCCTCACTTATATTTGAGAAGGGCAAAACATTTGGTTTTTACAAACATAAAACACTGTGCTTCA